ATATAGGTAAGGTCCAGAAAAAAAATTTTACTATTAGCTGTACGCAGCACTTTTGACTATGATCAGTACGCATTTATAGCTCCTAACCCCTGAAATTTTTACAAAATACGCATTCTAATCCTCTAACTTCAAGTCAGTTTTTAAAATTTTAATTGGCTCTTTTATTAGTTGTATCAAATTGTTCTCTGTCTTTGTCTGCTTTACATCCTTAACATACTACATGTCTATTTAAATAATCTTCTTCATATCTACGGTTTAATTTGATTTCTTTCCCACATATACATACTACTTTTTTTGCATTAATAATATGAGTAACGTATTTATGTTTAGCCAATTCACTCTTTACCATATTTCCAATAAAACATTATGTATGCTATACAGAAAATATTTTTTTTCGAAAAAAAAAAAAAAATATTTTAAGATGATCGTTAAATAAAATTAAAAATGTAAAATTATTACAAAAAAAGGAAACTTATTTCCAAAATGTACCAAAAAATAAGCAAAACCAACATCTTACCATCTAAAATCCAGTCAAAATTACACAAAATCAAATTCTAACCTTATCAAAATTTTTTGATGATTGTACACATTCCCAAATTCTAACATATTGATAGCTACTAAGATGATGACGCATCTTCAGCTCCTACCTATATTAGTATTGTTCGGGGTCCTGGGTGATTCCTGGGTAACTGGATTGGTTACTTATAATAAAAGGAGTGATCCCAGTACCCTTAGCAGCTTACTGTTCTGGTAGTTACTGCTATTACTACCAGGGGATTTACAACTGTGGATGGCTGGTATGGTAATCGCGGCCTGTAGTGGGCTTTGAGTGAGACCATATTAGTAGTCTTAGTATTGCAGTACTTCTAAGCTAACCATTATGGAAGGACTTATAGATGTCTGCTCCGTTATATCTGCTATATGTGAGTGGTTGTTCACTCCTGATAAGCGCTAGTGAGTAGCATTACTGTCAGGAATTCTGCTACACTACAATTCATCTCTGTGGATATAAACTTAGATCGTCTTCCCAGTATGGTATATATATAGGGGGTAAGGGGATGAACATCCAGTTACTTTTAAAAATAGAGTAGGTTGCTTGGTTAACAATTGCTCATAAGATTGCCTGCCTAAACCTCTCCAAAATTCTATGATTAGTTTCTCCAAGATTTTACTATAGTTTTATTATAGTTTCAGCAAGGCTTTAGCAGTTTTGGCATTTATAATAAGTTTCGTCAGGTTTCGCTTTTCTCCAAAGTTTCACCAACTTTTTAATAAGACTTTCATATAGTTTCGGGAAAGTTTCGCTATTTTAGCATTTCACCAACTTGCCAAAACCCCTTAGTTTCTCCAGCAACCTTAGTTATTCAACGGTAAGAATGCCTTATCGCAACCTTGGTTGTTGGCGTTCCCTCCACAGAGCTTTAGTATGCCACCTATGAGATATCTCTTAAAATATAAAAATAAAAATAAAAATAAAAATAAAAATTTTTTTTTCATAAAAAAATGGTCTATATGATTAGCAATTAAACATCTATAAATATTTTCCTATTATTTTTTTTTTTTCTATTCTAAATATTTTTTAGGCATT